CAGCAGTGTCCATATGCAGCATACTAGTATATAACGTATACTTTCGCATTCATCGAATAAACTTAGACTACTTTTAATTTTTTACACGTGAACTGTAACTAATAGTACTGGCTGAGAGGAAAAAAAATACCAGTCATTTGTCACAACTTTGTTCTTTTTGTGTTGTGTTTACATCGTAATTTTTTATTGCACATCCAATTGCATTATCAAATAATGTACTGTACATCTATTTTTAACAGATTAAATTAATAAGCATCCACATCAAACTTGGAAACGCAGAAAAATTAATAAGATGAAGCTGTTCAGTTTTGCTAATCCGGGTCTATTTATAGGCCTATACAACTTTTATCTTTGTCTCCATGTATTATTCTAACCTCCCAAAAATTTATTTCTGGCTAAAGAATTGGGTAAAACCAGCTGTGCTTGACTTTTACAGCATCTGCATGATTTCAGGACTTTAAATGATATTTTTTTTCTCCTGTTTTTTGCTGTGGATATTTTTTCAGTTCTTTAACACCCGCATATGAAGCAGCCATTGTTCCATAGGTGCAACTTAGTAATTGCAATTTAAAATAATCATCATAGCCTATAACCTGTCCCATCGAATAACCTTCTCTCCTTTCAAATTGTCTTTTAAATAGATATCCCGTGATAGTAATATGCACGAAAATACTGTAATTTCTAAGTAGAACTTTTTTTACCATATAAAAAAAAAGCCAGCAACGAAGTTGCTTAACTTTTCCAGCAATGTTTAAAACTGCGTGTGGCATCATCTGTTATAATATTTTATTTAAAACAACTTTCCCTCTCTTATTTGTAACAGAGCGAAAAAAAGTAAAAAAAAAAACTCTTCTAGAATTATTAAATATTTTCTTTGTTTATCCATAATATAAGAAAATTTTATTATTTATTCTAAACACAAACAAATTATTTTTAGTACTGTATCAATGTCAATGCACCATGATAATATATACAGATAAACAATTGTTTTTTGTTTTAAATTAGACAAAATTACTTAATATTTTTTATTCATATAAAAAACTTACATTACAGAAAATTTTGTATCTATCAGGAAAACCCACAAGCACAACCTTCCTGAAATAAATACATAACTAAGTTGTTATATTCCAATGAATATTTTTTTTTCTTTCTGTTTAATTTTCTTAAATTACAAATTGACTATAAAAAGTTGAAATTTGTGCATATTTAATAACAATGTGTACAAAAATTGTTCAATTTTAATCATAAATTATTACATACAAATGCTTTATTTATTTTTTCTTTTTTAAATCAGCATGCCAACGATTATATATATATATATATGTAGATATAGTATAATCAATAGTATAATGAAAAATTGAAAATTAGAAAATTTTAAAAATTGTATATATCGAAAACAGTACAGTTATGCTGTGGTACACCCGATTCAAATTTAAAGTGATTATAAAATGGATAAAAGTTTGTTTTTTTTTTCTTCCCTAATAATATAACTACACAACACTTTGCACATACACCAAGTTCTATATAAGTTCTGCAGAATTGGTATCTTGTATACATGTAGTGTTACAGAATCCTGTTACAACTGACTAGATGTTAGTGTTTTAAACAAGTTGAAAAATTAAAACATCTATTCACTAAGACTTCTGTTACATTGCTAACATATGAAACTCATTTTTGCAACTGAAAAGCAAAAACATTGTTTTTTTTTATTATATGTTTTTTTTATCACAGCCGTAAAAAATTCTGAATAATTTTTCAATTAAAATTAAATAGGAATAATATCTTTTTACACAAAAAAAAATGTATTTTGTAAATTAATATTTTGTTAATAATCCCCAGAAAAAAATTTAAAAACTTCATTTTGTTTTAGACTAGTAAAAAAATGGCACAAAATGCCATCTAATTATTATTATTATTATTATTTTTTTTTTTTTGCTAAAATTAATTATTTTTCTATATTTTACTTATTTTGTTTTCTTTGTTTATTAGTATTATTTTTATTTTGTACATTTATATGGAGCATTTTAAAAAATTAATACACAACTCAGCTTAAAAAGTGTGTACTCAAAACACTAAGTACATAATATATATATCAATATATATATATATATACACACGTTATAAGAATTGCTCCCTCTTCTTTCGTCGTTCTTGGTCCGAGATTATGAAATGCATTGCAATTAGCAAATGAAAATAAAAACTTTCATTCTTTTTATAGAAAAAAAAATAAAAACAAAAAAAATATGTCAACAGAACTTAATCTGTATGAAAAGTTTAAAATTTTATGTAAAGACGAAATCATTCTCTTTCTGAATTAATGCAGAAAGGCTTGGAACAGAAATCAACCTGAGATAAAACCACCAAACAGACTGGGTCTGTCTTCGTTAACTTTGATGAAGATGCTAAATGTCATCCACTTTCCACTCAACACTATGTTCCACTTGTGTTAATTTTTACTTTTACTTTTTAACTTTGTTATAGTCTAGAACTGGATTCCCCTGGTGAATTAGCACTGTGAGCATTCCTATAATTCATATATGAAAAAAATTATTTTAATTTGATTCTAATTATAACTAATTATTATAAGTTTTAATTAAAATATTTTTAATTTTTATAACAATTATAATATAGTTTTTTCTGAAAATATCTTTCATTTCTTTGTATTTTCAGTTTAATATCATATTAATTAATATAATTTTTAAGGTTTATAAACATTTAAGCTTAAAAGAAGGAAAACTAAAATATTTATATTATGATTTTTTCACACATAATAATATTTAATAATCGCACATGTTAAAATAATATTTTGCTTATAGAATTTTTAACATTAGCATTGAAAAATAAAGTAAAACTTTGGAAATGATAATGATTAAAATTGTCATAGCTTTAACCAAGACCAAGAAAATCAAATTTCTTGGTCATGTACTATAACACAACCCTTTACAGAAATTTCTCCTGATGAAAAAAATGGAAGATAGAAGAAGAACATGAGAAAGGAAAAGAATTAGTTTTATAATGTAAAAAAGACTAATCTTGTCTTTTCCACTTGTGCAAAACTGCTGAATGTAGAAATTTATAATTTATATTTTCATTTAGGGGATTTACAAATGTAATAAAAGTGTTTTTCTCTGCAAAGTTGGTTTGCTTTACCTTTTTTTAACTTAACTTTTATTTCATTATTGATGTAATGTTTTAGAATTTTGAAGTTATATACCCTCAAGTCCGTAAGTCAGAAAGGAAAGAAAAATTGATTTTTGTGTATTTTTCTAGAATACAATTAAGTAAGAATTGGATAATTTATCTGACTCCATTGTTTTAAATAGTTATTTTGAAAAATTTATAACTTGAAACAGTAGTCAGCCTCCTTGATTAATAGAATACAGTTAGGTCTCACTTTAAGGAAGGATATATGCAGTTTTGTGTTTTTACAGATAGGAAATGGTTAGATTAATTCTTGGATGCACACAAATAATTCCAACAATTTATGCACATGCTGACTATTTTTATTATGAAATTTGTGCAACAATAGTAATGATATAAAAATTAAAAGTAATTTTCTACAATCTATGTACGAGAAAAAATTATCAAGATGAAATGAAAATAGGTTTTAATGCAGAATTCATCTATACAGTTTGCAAATTTTATGATGGGTGCAGCTACACTTGATTTTTACATCATCTTTGACTTATAGACATAATATGCAAATATAACTTCCCACATGCATCTAAAAAGGAACTCCATTAGTCTGATGTATCATATGTTAATATGCTACCAATTTCTACACAACAATTTAAATAAAAATAATGTTAAATTTGGTTTTGTGTATATATGGGCTGTGCTGTGCTGTGCTGTGCTGATTAATGAGGCAGAGAGGCAACTGCCTTAGGTACCACATTGATAGGGATACTAAAAAAGAATCATGATGTTTATAGAAATAAGTACATTGTCAATGTTCTTACATTTGGCTGAGGCACCAAAATTATTTGGAATAATCCTGTGTATACAGTTGTGTAAAAGTAAAACTGAAACTAAAACTTTTGGCACTACATAACAACCTAAACTGGAGACCATTTCAATACATTACATTTTGTTACAATACAATTTGTAATTTTTAAGCATTTTTATGTTAACTGTAAATGTTTACATAAGGGTCTAGGCATCCAACAGGAACTACTTGGGGCAGAGCTCAAATTTATGTAGAATTTCATGTTATGTAGTACCTACTTATAAACCACTCCCACAACACAAGAACCATACATCAAAAGCATTTATTATAATACATTAAAATAAATATTTCAAATAAATAACTTAAAAAGCTACTTTATTGACACTCACTAATTTACATTAACAGTTTCTTGATACTTTTGGGCATTGGAGATACACTTTTAGTGCAGAATTCACTTTTATATCTCTTGATCAATCTGGCTTGATTAGCTGACAATACCCAAAAAGCTGATATAGGTTAGTGAGCTCCAATATAGCATATTTGTAAATTATTAATTTCTAATATAAACCCATCAAATATATATTTTTTAATAGCTTGTTAGCTATTAACTAAACTTGCAATATATGCACATATTAGAAATTATAAATTGTAGTTATTTCATCTTTTTATTTATAAACTGAAGATAGTATGACTTTTTATTTTTAACAACATTAAATGTCAAAATTTTGCAAAAAACACTTTCTTGGTCCGAGATTATGAAATGCATTGCAATTAGCAAATGAAAATAAAAACTTTCATTCTTTTTATAGAAAAAAAAATAAAAACAAAAAAAATATGTCAACAGAACTTAATCTGTATGAAAAGTTTAAAATTTTATGTAAAGACGAAATCATTCTCTTTCTGAATTAATGCAGAAAGGCTTGGAACAGAAATCAACCTGAGATAAAACCACCAAACAGACTGGGTCTGTCTTCGTTAACTTTGATGAAGATGCTAAATGTCATCCACTTTCCACTCAACACTATGTTCCACTTGTGTTAATTTTTACTTTTACTTTTTAACTTTGTTATAGTCTAGAACTGGATTCCCCTGGTGAATTAGCACTGTGAGCATTCCTATAATTCATATAAGAAAAAATTATTTTAATNAAAGGTTAAGGGGGAGATGGAAGGAAGAGAGTGATCCAGGAAACAAGAAAGAAGAAAATGCAGTAAAAGAAAATATAAGAGGACAAATGATAGAAGGATAAATCTAGATGGAGAGGCTTCATCCAACTAACCCAGCAGTAGAATGCTGAAAACTAAGATTACATAAGATTAGATTAGATTAGATTATAATTTGTAATTTAATATCATTAATTCAATTTAATATCATTGTATATAATTTTTTGTTTTCAATTTAATGTTATGAAAACATATTAAAAAACAAAAAAGAAATTAAGAAAAATCTACAGATTTGTTTATAGTGACAAATTATCACAGTAATGATAAATTTTCATATATTTTTACTTTATTTTTAAAAGAAACTGGTTAATTCTTTGAAAATGCACTATTTTAATTTATATAATCAAAGTCTGATTCAAATTTAACCCTCAAAAAAATTTTGTATTAAGTGAAATTGTCTTTTTTATAAATTTTAATTCACTTTTAAAATAAAAATATATATTTGTCAATTTTGAATATTTTGTAAATTTTTAATTTTAATTTTAAGATTGATTGAATTTTGTTGGTTATGTCAGACCTAATTAACTGGTAGTTAAAAAAAAATTTAAAAATTAATGGAACTTATGGAAGAAGCCAGATTGATTTTAAAGACTAACTTTAAGGATTGGGATTTGAATACAGATATTTAATATTGGATCACTCACTGACAGTGGGAAAGATGATGGAGGTAATGATGGAGAAAAAAATTGGCAGTTTTGGTCTAAGTGAAACAAAGAAAAAAAGGAAAAAGAAGAAAGTAGATAGTTAATAAATAAAAAAAAATTGGATGTAAAAATGGCATAAGCATTCTGGACAGATTTGTAGGAAAGTGTTATGTGACAAGAGAATGTGAAAAATAGAAGACATGGAAGTAGAAACAAATATAATAGATCAAAATGGAAAGAAAGTAATGTAAAGGAAGATAAAGACGTAAAACAATTATAGATTTTGGAGCATTATTCAATCCAAATGTAAAAGGGAAAAAAAGTGAAAAAATGTAGAGTACAAAAAAAATGATCTAAAGTGGAAGGAAATGGAAAATGTATTGTAAAGTTTAGCTTTTTGTGAACACTCAGTGCTGTGTGGTGCTCTGCTACTTTTTTTACATAGACTGCATCACTTACACACACAAATATATATATATTTTTGTGTGTAATATGTAATGTACATACATATACATACATATATATATAATATAATATATGGGGGTGCAAAAGTAGGTATACAATTGTTATTATGAAAAAAACATACAGAGAGAAAATAAGAAGAAAAAACATTTATTTTTATGTACAAATTAAATCACAAATAAGGAATATGAACTAATAAAGATAATAAAAATAATAATAATGAACACCAAACATTTGTATTTCTCAGATTCTCAACTGTATAACTACTTTTGCACCCCTCCTGTATATGTAAATTGATCAACCAACTGCATCTGTCATACCCTCAGATCAGAAAAACATCCCCTTGAGAATGATATTTCCTGAAAGAAATGGATAGAAACACCGAAAGTTTAGTTCAGAGGCCACAGCAATGCAAAACTAACTTTACAGTATTAGAAAAAAAATAAAAAAAAAAAACACCAAGAGTAAAATAAGAGTAGAGATAATCAGGCAGTAAGAATAAGAGGAACACAATGATTGCACAGAATTATTAGTGCAGCATAGAAGGAGTAAAAATGCTAGAAGTCTGGACAAAAGAAATGATTGTACCTATATTCAGTAAAGAAAGATAAAATAAAGTATAATTAAAGATAAGTTTGTTATATCAATATGCAAAACCTGTTAGAAGTAATCTATAATTATTGCTTATTCTTTTTTTAAAACTGAATAAGTGTTAAAATAATAATAAATTTATGGAAGGTAAGTTTAGGGAAACAACATAATTCATACAAAAAAGATCAATAGTAGATTTAATATTTCTGTAAGGTTATATAAATTATAAGGGTAAGTTTAATAAAAACTTTGTAATGATGTTCTTATATAAGGAGATCTTACAGCAGAAACAATATGTAAATGGAAGGCTATGAACAAGTTTGAAATGGTAATAGAATCGATAAAGAGCTGATGATAATATCTAAAGAAAAAGATAGTAGTGATATTAAAATAAAAATTAGTGGCAAGACCTAAGAAAAGTGGATAAATTTAAGTTTCTAGGAAGGGTTTTGAGAAAGGAAGAATTAAGAAAAAAATACCAGAATTGAGAGATATTTTACATAGAAATTGAGAAGTACCTTAAGGATATGCTATGGAAAAGTAAAGTACCCATTAAGTGCAAGAGAATATTGTATGAAAGATATGTACTTACAATAACATATAGTGCAGAGCTTGGACTGTAAAGAAATGGGTAAAAAATAGGTTATGGAAATGAAGTTTCTGAGAAGTGCACAATAGGAGTAACAAAAAAAGAAAGAAAAAATAAGACAAGGTTAGAAATGAAAAAGCACAAAACAAAATAATAATGAAAGTAATAGAAGATATTATTGAAAACAAAAGGATGATATATTTTGGTCATGTTAAAAGGATGGAGAAGGAAAGAATACCATGAGTGATCATGGAAAGAGAGATACATGAAAAAAGATCAAGGAAAAGGTTAAGGGGGAGATGGAAGGAAGAGAGTGATCCAGGAAACAAGAAAGAAGAAAATGCAGTAAAAGAAAATATAAGAGGACAAATGATAGAAGGATAAATCTAGATGGAGAGGCTTCATCCAACTAACCCAGCAGTAGAATGCTGAAAACTAAGATTACATAAGATTAGATTAGATTAGATTATAATTTGTAATTTAATATCATTAATTCAATTTAATATCATTGTATATAATTTTTTGTTTTCAATTTAATGTTATGAAAACATATTAAAAAACAAAAAAGAAATTAAGAAAAATCTACAGATTTGTTTATAGTGACAAATTATCACAGTAATGATAAATTTTCATTACTAAGTAATTTATAAAATAAAAGAAAGTTGATTTTTCATAAATAAAAAATACAAAAATGTAATTGAAATATAATATTTAAATGAAAGATTAAAATATTTCTTACCTTGTATCCACACATGTCTGGCAAGCCAAATTATTATTCAGATATTGGATACTTGATTGAGAATTTAATTCTGTATTGCAGATGCTACAATTGAAACAGTCACTATGGTAAGGTAACAGCACAGTATCCACAACAATTACTTCTCCAAAACCTGTAATGATATTTTATATTATACACTTCTTAAATTTAACAATTAAATTCATTAAATTAAGTAAATGTATTAATGTAATTATGTAAGGCTTTCCTAAAATTATAAAGAAAATGCTGTGTACTATATATTTTTGTTTACTGTATTTTATGGCACATAAGGTGCAACTTTTATCCAGAAAAAAGGCTCAAAAATCATTCTGAATCTTATTATGAGAAGCTGTAATCACAGGCTAATCAATTCCACAAATGGATTTCAGTAGGATTGGATTGGATTGATTAAATAAAGCAACACAACATGTGGACACTCAGTGAAAGGAAGTGCCTCTTAGGGTGTTTCAACAGGAAACTGGCCCCTATTTAGATGTTAAAAATATGAAGAATATGAAAAAAACTTGAAAAATTCCACATGACTAGTCCACTGGTGTGGCACAAACCTGTAACCAACTACCAGTGTTTAGTGATTTTATCCACTTGGCCGGGGTGAACCTTTAGTAGATAACCTCCATCTAGCCCTGGAATTCTCAACCTTTTTTATGTATTGACTGCTTTTAAGAAAAATGTTTTTCCATCAACTCCCTTCAATATTATATACATGTTATACAATATTATATTATATATAAATACACATGGTATATGCAACAGTCTTGTACATAATTTTTTAAAGGCATCTTCCTACATTTATTTGAGAGGGGAAAAAATGTGTAAAATTTTTATTTTTAAATAAATTTCTTATATTTCCCTTCAAACTTTCATAGTTTGAAGTTTCGATAACTTTGATATGCTTGAAAACTTTGAAACATATATTTCCCTTCAAACTTCAAACCCTAAGGGGTCAATACCAACTCCATTGGGAAATCTGATCTAGTCAAACTCTTGAATAAAAATGTTATTGTTTAATTAAACATATTATTGTTATATTTTTAACTGGAATACAGTGAAAAATTTTTAGGATGAAAGACAAAGGTTTGAGATAGCTTAAATGCATTAAATGCTTTTCCTAAATATTCTGTGCTGAAATAGGGGTGTCTTACTTGCCATGGAATATAGTAAATATAATTCTTACTTAAATACATTGGAAAACTTTATTTAACATTTTAATAAAACTTAAAATTAATTTTAAATGATTTACCAAGTTCTTTACTACAGACACCACATAATTCATTTGGTTTTGGTTGTTGATTTTCACTCATCTCTCTAGAATCTGGAGGTTGTATTTGTTCATAATTCCAAGAATATCCTGATGCAGAATTACCATCACTGTCTTCACTTGAGTCTGACACTGGTGAAATAACATAATGTACAGTCTGAATTTCACTTGGACTGGAACTGTTAATTTCTTCACTAATTGGGGAATTTTTACTTGAAGGCTTAGGAGGGGGAACAGGTGGATATTTATGAGGAGAATCGAATGAAAGTGGAGGCAATGAACTTCTGTCTCCTATAGATTTTTCAGGAGAATTTGTTTCACTTTTATTTCCACTATTTTCTTTATGCCATGGTGATGTATCATAAATGGAACCTTCAAGTATTGGCATTGATAGCCGCTTTGTTTGAGTCTTCTGAAAATCAACAAACAAGTATTTAGAATAAAAATTATAAATATTTAAATAATATTTTTACAAAAGAATGTAATTCTTTACTTCATTTTGTCGAATCCATTCACCTTCTTGAATTATTTTAGCTTTAGGAGCTGCACCTAAAGAAAGTAATAAATGCTGCCTTTTCATGGGTTGTGGAATACCAGATTCTTTATCCCCTATTAAAATATTTTAAATATGTCAAACAATATAAATAATACAGTTCTAAGTTGTAATGTTTATTAATTTGATATTTACACATGTTAAACTAATAAAAAATAATATGAAAAATTATTAGACATCTTATAGAAAAATTTTATTTCAATAATAATTTAATTAGACTTAAAGCAATTAGAATAAGGAATATTTCTTCCTTAAATAAATTAATCATCATTTTAACTTAATACATGGATTTAACCAACATTTGTTATGAATTTAATAACAAATGGCAGAGAATGAAGAATTTTGACATAAATTAAGTTTTTACTTTTTATAATTTTGCTTTTAATATTTGTTTTCCATTATTTAACTATTTGCTACTGAATAAAGTTTGTATAATTTTAATGTAATATTTGTTGGAAAAAAATATAATTGTTTTTTATTAAATAATGAATAAGAAAATATGAAATAGAAATGGAACAATACATGAGTAAAGATAACAATTATATATCACTGCAAACACATAAAACCTTTATTTTGATACAACACAAGACAAAAAAAGTTTGTTTAATCTAAGTAGTTTGAAAGGGAGTGAACAGCTGCAAAAGTATGAAAGAAATGGGATAGATACAATCATAAAATTTAATTTTAAAAAATATATGATTAAATATCTACATTAAAAGACAAAATCATAATCTATCATTATATGGCACTAAAATTAATTTCTGATATCAAACTATGAGTTAACTATTTTTAACTACAGAAAAACTTGAAGCATTAAAAGTTATTTTTCATACATCATGAAATCAAATAATGTATAATTTCAAATAACAGATTTCTGTAAAATAATTTTTGAATAAACAGTTATACCATTTTTGACAATATTATTTTTTTCAATATTTGTTACAGCTTCTGTTGGAACATTATTCTGAGATTCCCTAATTTCCTCTGATTCATCAGGCCTAATATCTAAAATAAAAATTTTTCAAAACAAAATTTAATAATTTTTATTTTAAATAAATAAATAAAAATTAGTTAAAATAAATTAATAATACAAATAAAAATTAATATAAACAAATTTAGAAAATATTTTTAAAATATATTTGGTAACTAAAACTTAAAATTTAAATATAATTTATCAAATTCCCATATTATTGCCATTTTTCTAAAATTTCAATTAAAATCAATAACTGTTTTAAAATTCATACAGGATCAAGATTCTAGAATGCAATCAATTATGAATTAACACCAAGAAGTAACTATTTTATTTTATTTTCTTATACTTTCGCAATGTGTAGCAGATTTCCCTTTCTTCTTTTTACAAAATTAGCCTCTGCAAACATTACTTTTTTTTGCATTTGCATTTCTTTAAATTTATTTAACTTGTTTCTAATTATGCAGTTTTTAAAATTAGAAAATATTAACCTCAATGCTTTATATTTTTCATATTTTTAAACTCCTTAATACAACCAATTATGAAATTAAAAATATCACTAGTATATAATTATCATAGTGTTCTACACTAGCAATATATTTTATATATTACTCAGTATATATTTATTTAAAGTAAGAAATGAATGTATTATTTTAATTTTATTTGAAATATAATGAAAATTATTATTATATTTAGTATCTATAATTTATATNATATACGTGTATGCAACCATATTTAATAATCAAGTTATCTGAAAGAAACAAAGGTCAAAAGAAGGTTACATCTGTTTAGTGTTAATCTTTTATTTATTTTGGGCTATCAAGAGTTATCTGTGTTATATCTCTATAAGAAAAATAAATTATTTAATTTTTTATAGGAGTTCCATACTTTTGTTTATTAAACAATTACATTATATTATTATGATATATTTTGCTAGGAGTACATTAACAGCAAAAAATTCAAGTCATTTATCTGATCTTTCTAGATGAAATAGAACAGATTAATGATACTTGAACTCTGGTTTATTTCATCTAAAATAAATATCTTGTAAATATATACATATAAATTAAAACTGCTCAGGATATGTTATATGTTAAGTTATATTTGAAGGAAAAAATATATATAAGAAAATCAATTAATCTTAATTCATGAGTTTACTAGTGGATTTATTCATTTAATTAATATTTAAATTTTAATGCTTTTTTTAATAAATAGTTTTATTTAATTAAAATATTTTTATATATCTTTAGATTATATATTTTTTTAAATATTATTAGATTAATATTTTTTTTTAAATTTTTGTCAAATGTAATTGTATTTGATAATTGAAAAACAGTAATGATTCTGGAACATCTAGCTCACGCAATAATGAAACTTTAAGAGCACATGACTATCTTAATCAAAAATTGATTTCAATTTGTTTTTTTATTGCATTATTCAATTTATACTTAATTAGTGCTTTGGTTTCAATATCAAATAAAATAATTTCTTTTATAAATTATCTAGTCTTTTATTTGAATTTTTTCTAATTATTATAATGCCCAAAAAAATATATTTTTACATGACAATTTGACAACTAAATCATCACGGCAGACTTTTTCATTAATATATTCTAATAATATACTCTTATATATATTGTAAAATTCATAAATATGAATAGCATAATATATAAATTTCCAAACAACTATTCAATTTAAGAATGTCTGTTGTATATAGTCATTTTATATTATTATTCTTATGTTGGCAATGTAAATACAATACTCACTTGACAGTACATACAGTACCAATTGTCATATCAGACCAAGTTCAAAACACAGCTACTAAAAACAATTGTTTTATCACGTTTGTTTGCTTTTAGTATATGTATCTATATTTAAAAAGTTCTTGACTGTATGATATACATTTAATATTGCTGCTTTCTATAACATTATGTAAATGTTGTGATTAATATCTGATTTCCAGATTTTTATAAGTGTATGAGATGTGAAAGAAAAAACCACAGGCACATTGAATGCTTTAGCCATTTTCTACAGATGCTTTATTTCTTAAGTGAGTTCTGTGTGCTTATTAATTCTATCAATAGCCAAAATCTCTATAATGATATAGGTATTTTGAATATTGTGGATGTTTAAGATGTCTATGTATATGATGTAAATTATTTACTTCGCTTGTCACAAATAATATTTGTTCTATTTTTAATGGATTGTTTTATCTGTAATTATAGTTCTACCTTAATGCATTTTTGTATGATGTTTTCTAATATTGTTTGTAGCATGTATAATTAAGTAATTCAGGATCCTTGGCTAATTTTTCTATTTGCTCTTTGCAAATATCCATATCTTCAATTAGCAATAATAACCTTGTATGATTCAATAGTGAGTAAAACAACATTTTTGCATTAACATTAATGTGTTGTAAAGTCAATTTCTATATATTGCAAAAACCTCATAAGTGGTGTGTGCCTTATAAACACTCTCTCTGACATTGTCAAAAATCTGCAACCTTGTACTCAAAATTTTGCTCCCTCAAAACAAAATTTTCTTTTAGCTATCTTGTAAAATTTTACAAAATGCAGATACAAGGTTTTGATCACCAACCAACAATATAAATTTATCACCTTGCACTTTATCTGTCATAATTATACCTATTTAAAATATGTATCTTATATTATAGCTTCTGAATATTTAATAATTTGTATTTGTGTGCACACTTTTAGTATATTATACTTGTTATTTTGTTGAAAAAGAATGCATTATACTTGATATAATGCATTCTTTTTAGAACAAATAATGAAGTAATGTTAGTTTTATTTTACTTAAGTTGTAATAGAAAATATGTATAACCATTTTCAGGGGCATGAATATAAAACAACAATCTGGTTAGATACAAAATTGACTGAATAGAAAATAGAGTATTATATAAAGTTAAATGTAAATTACTTTATTTATATAGATGTTAATTTAAAAAGAAAAAAATTATAATGCAATTTACATACATAATGTTTCTGAATTTTCACAAGTTGATTCTTGACAAAATTCTTCATTAGAATTTATTAATGGTTCATCAACAAGAAAATTATCTGGAACAGGAGGTTCCTATAAAAAGAAACATTTATAGTATCATTAAAATAAAAACATATAATTATTTAAATCTAATTTTTTAAAACAATTGTAATGTTTATCAAATTTTAATATGAAAATATTAATTTAATTACAGAATATAAACTTTATCTTTAATTAACTTTATAATTAAACTGTTTGTCATATTATATGATAATCAGCAGTAGACGAAACCTTGAATGTTATTTTCATTTTCTTTTAAGAAAAATTAATTATTTTTATCATTTCATAATATTTTTTTAAATATGAAACTTATTTATAATAAATAATAACATACCTCATATATTGTTTCATTTGTCACTAAATTTGTTTCTGTTAAAATATTTAAATTATCTGTGGTAACCTCATCATTAAATTCTTTAGGAACACCTTGATATACTTCAAAATTTGAGGAATCTATAAAAAAAATCAGTTATTAAAAATACTGTGTGTTACAAAATAAAATTATAATATAGCTTACAAATAAATAATGCATAAAATCAAAACAATTATGAATAAATGAATAAGCCAATATACGTGTATGCAACCATATTTAATAATCAAGTTATCTGAAAGAAACAAAGGTCAAAAGAAGGTTACATCTGTTTAGTGTTAATCTTTTATTTATTTTGGGCTATCAAGAGTTATCTGTGTTATATCTCTATAAGAAAAATAAATTATTTAATTTTTTATAGGAGTTCCATACTTTTGTTTATTAAACAATTACATTATATTATTATGATATATTTTGCTAGGAGTACATTAACAGCAAAAAATTCAAGTCATTTATCTGATCTTTCTAGATGAAATAGAACAGATTAATGATACTTGAACTCTGGTTTATTTCATCTAAAATAAATATCTTGTAAATATATACATATAAATTAAAACTGCTCAGGATATGTTATATGTTAAGTTATATTTGAAGGAAAAAATATATATAAGAAAATCAATTAATCTTAATTCATGAGTTTACTAGTGGATTTATTCATTTAATTAATATTTAAATTTTAATGCTTTTTTTAATAAATAGTTTTATTTAATTAAAATATTTTTATATATCTTTAGATTATATATTTTTTTAAATATTATTAGATTAATATTTTTTTTTAAATTTTTGTCAAATGTAATTGTATTTGATAATTGAAAAACAGTAATGATTCTGGAACATCTAGCTCACGCAATAATGAAACTTTAAGAGCACATGACTATCTTAATCAAAAATTGATTTCAATTTGTTTTTTTATTGCATTATTCAATTTATACTTAATTAGTGCTTTGGTTTCAATATCAAATAAAATAATTTCTTTTATAAATTATCTAGTCTTTTATTTGAATTTTTTCTAATTATTATAATGCCCAAAAAAATATATTTTTACACGACAATTTGACAACTAAATCATCACGGCAGACTTTTTCATTAAACTTATGTGAAAATTTTCCAAACGATGACCTCCACTGAGGAGAATGTTGGAGGAAATAGTGGTATGAGCAAGAAAAATATTTTGGTTACAGAAGAATTACAAAACAGACTTTTTTCAGGTTTTTTGTTTATATACAAAAAAATCTTAGAATAATTAATAAGCATTTATTGGCTTATAGGGAAATGTTAATTGTGTTTTGTAAAAAATGGATTTTAATTTGTTTCAGGTCAGTGTTTATATCTTAATTTTTGCTTTTATATTTAATTTGTTAATGTCAGCTGAATACATTGTTTGTAGAGTGAAGAGGGGATAGGTTTTTTAAAATCCCAAAATGCATTGCTGCTATAACAAGTGTGATTAAAGTGTTTTGAACAAATTGATCTTTGTCTCCTGATTAAAACAGACTACATAAGAAAAAACTTAGGTTATTAGTCTCAGCAGAGGTTATCCTTTGGAAAATTTCCACATACATTTAAATATATTTTTCTTCTTTATCTTAGCTGGAATAAATGAATGAGTTATGCCATGTGTTGATTACTGTGCTACATTGCAGTTTTTAAACAGATATATTTTTCTTGTTTTGATTACATATTTATAACAGATGTTTACACATAAATAACATTCAAATTTATAATAGAAATATACTGTAAGATGTTTATGTTTCAATTTTTTCAAAATAATAGAAAAATTATGTTAAACATAAAATAAGAAATATTATCTCGTCATACTTTTTTAAAATACATTAATTTAATAGAAG